TGACATCAATAGCAGGCAATCCTGCAAAGTCACCCCATTTATGAGCTGACAGCATCACTACTGGTGGCATGGGAGTGAGGGCACGCTGCTCTGTGCCTTTGGGACCAACCAGGCTGTGGCTCAAGCTGGAGTGGCTCCCAGGCTTGTTTCAGATATGGTGCTTTTCACAACCCCCTTGCCACCAGGGCCAGCTGCTAGCAGTGAACCAGTAGAGCCTCCTTCTGCAGAGCACATTCTAGGTCAAACCTCCCCCTCATTTTGACCCAGAGAGGATCAGCGCCTTGCCCAGGAGCTCCAGCAGGGCTGAGGTTCCTCTACAGGTCTGTGCCTCAGCACGCCTGTCTGTCCACCAGAAAATGAACTCAGAGCTGGTGGCCAAAAAGAAGAAAGGGCAGGACCTCCCGGACTCCAGATTAAGGGCAGGGCCAAGGAACAGTGCTCCTTCCCTCGCCGACAGGAACCACTCCTCACTGCCCAGCTGTTGACACCCTCTCGGTGCAGCATCCTGACAGCCAGGGACGCCAGCAGCGAGCCAGCCCCTCCCTGCGCGTTCCACCTGGGGGAGCCGGGGAATTGGCGCCCCTCCCTCCCCCCAAGTCCCCAGGGGAGGAAGCCGCCTGTCAGGCCGCCACGGCGTGTCAAATCCTCTTGCTGCCTAATTGTGAGACGGCGGCGTTTAAAGAAACGCTTTTCTGGCCGCCTGCCACACCGCAAACTGCTTGGTATAATTTTATTATTAAGGAGAGAGAAAAAGAGGGAGGGGGTTGGAAGAGAGAGAGAGAAAGCGAGAGAGAGGAGGAAATTGCTTAGTCCAAGTCAGCTGGTGGAGTATTCTGCTCAATGTGAAAGCGGGGACAGCTTTCCAGTTGGCAAGCTGACTTCGTTAATTGCGCATTCAGTCTCTACTTAGGGTAATTGAAACGAAGCGAGGCCCAGGTCTGACAATTAGGGTCTGCGACTGGGCCATTAACCCTTTCCTCAGCCATCGTGGCTCCCGGTTGGATACTACCGCCCCCTCTCAAGGTGGGGGTGGGCTACTGGGCGCCCCCGCGAAGGCCCACCTGGGGCCGGGGGCTCGGAGCCCCACACCGAGCGCGTAATGCGGCAGGGGGCTGCCGAGCGTGCGTCCCAGCAAGAGCAGGGTTAACGCGGCGCCGCGAGTCCTGGAGCCTGCTAGGGCCAAGCTGGGGATGGGGGAGCCGCGCTGGGTGTGCGGGGGTTGCTTGCGGCCTCACCGCCCCACTGCAACAGATGTTTCAGCCGTGTAAGACAAAGGCAGAGCGCCTGCTGCTGCCGGGAGAAAATCCGCAGGACTCCCTCAGGGGCAGGTAAAATTTCACCTTCTATTTGTGTCCCCCCACCCCCTTTCCTTACACCCCCGCCTGCCCCCGCCTAGTTTCCCGGCCTCTGCGCCAATCCGGAAAGCGCCACCAAAGACGCCGCGCCGCCTCCTCTGCAGCCCAACCCGCTGACCCCAGCAAGGTCACGGCGACCTCGGGCTCCGCCAGCGACGCGCCCGCCCATCCTCCGCCGGCGAGGGGCGCCTCCCCACCTCAACCCCCTCCGTGGCGCCCTCCCAGTGAGCGATCTAAGGTAATTGGAGGCGCCGCGAGAGAGGAAGGGGGCGCTACACTCGCCACGAGGCGGAGGCGGCGCTGGACGCTCATCGCCTCCCTCCTGCTTGCGCTGGGACCCCGGGGGGCTGAGCCCCCCCCCAGCCCCCATCATTCATCTCCCTGATTCCCGCTGTAGCCGCCCTCGGAAGTCAGCCGAGTGAAGCAGCTGTTCCTTGCACACTCCACTTGACCAAAGATGATGATAAATGAGGCCCGGGCTGCGTCGGGGACGCGGCGCCGGCCGCGAGGGGCGCACAGGGCGGGGCGTGCGGCCCGCAGCCCCCTCTCCGCGCCTCGGGAAGGGCGAGGACGCGGAGGACAGAGGCCGAGAGGCGAAATCAAAGGCCTGCACCCCCCCGCCCCGCCCCGCGCAGCCCCAGCACCCGCGGCAAGGAGGGAGCGGGCTGAGAAGTGCATCCTGAACGCTTCCTCGCCGCTCGCGCCGCAGCAGTGCCTCTTCCTTCTCCACCTCTTCCCCTAAAGCCTCAGTCCCCGAAGCGCCTTCGGCCCCCCAACCCCCCCACCTCCGTGCCTCAAACCTATTAACGCTCGTAAATAATGAATAATGGAGTGCTTCCCTCCAGCCGCGCAGGGCTGCGGGCGGGGGCCGCTGCCAGCTGCGCCCGGGCCCGGGGAGGGGGGCGACCCCCGGCCGGGAGCAGGGGGCTCGGGCGCTCGGCCCCGCACACGTGCAGCCGCGGCGCGCGAGCGGACACCCCGCCCCGCAGAGGAGGGGGAATCCCGCTCTGCCCTCCCCAACGCCACCTCCCCTGGAGTCCTCTGGCACCGAACGAGGCGAGAGAGCGCGCGCGAGCTTCCCAGCCGGAGAGGGTTATTTTTAACCTGCCCCCCTTTCTATATCTGCCTCTCGGGTTTGCGCGCCCGCCCGCCCGCCCGCCCGCTCCACCAGCCGAGGACGCGGGCTCCTCACCTCGCTCAGCGGCTCCGGACTCTGAGCGCCTCCCCCGGCCCGCGGCCCCCGCCCCTGCGCGGGCATCGCGCGGCTAAATCTCAGCCTGGAAAGGACCGATTAGGAGCCGCGTGCCTTTCTGCGAAATATTGGAACCGGGTGGGGTGGGGGCGGGGATCCCGGCGCTCTCGTCCCCTCGCCTTCCTCCCAGCTCGCAGAGTGGCTGCAAGAGGCGGCTTCGGCGCTCCCTCTGCAAACAGGGGTGGCCCGCCCGGGGCGCCGAGCTCCCCTTTGGCTTTCACCCTTCTCGCCTCAATGCCCAACCTTCTTCCATCATCTATGAAGCTGTAGCTTCCAACACACGGACCCTCCGGCAGCGGCGGCGCCAAGTGGGGCGCTGCCTCCCCCCATCTCCAGCCTCCTCCCTGAGCCGCTCCAAACAAACACACCATTTAAAAGGCAGCAGTCTTGCACACCAACAACTCCAAGGCAGACCCCACCCGTGCCCGTGCCAGGAGCGCGCGGGGGAGGGGACGGCTTTCTCCCAGCCTCTTCTCTCTGGCTCACCTCCTTTAGGCCCACCGCTGTCCCTCCCTCCCCTAACAGACCCGGCAGCTCAGACCCCTCCCTCTTGCTCAGGGGAATGAGGCTGCAGGAAGTTCATGTCCACTCCCATTACCTCTGTTCTCCAAGAGGCCACCCACCCAAACACCAGTCTATCCTTCCCCCCAAAAGGGGGGGGGGAGTGGAGGAGCTGGCGGAGCCCAGAAACCCCCTGGAGGCTCTGACTGGATCAGTCACTTGACATTTTCCAGACTCTGCTCAGTGCCCAATCCTGGAGAGCCGCAGGCATAGGGCCCCTAAGAACACCTCCCTCCTGAACTGGGTGGGGGGTGAGAGACAACCTGTAACACAAATGGGGAAGGGAGGAAGGGGCTGAGAAGAAAGGAACAGGGAATTCCAGGGGCAAGGAACTGCCAGGCTGAGCGGCAGGAAAAGAGCACAGCCTGTTTGCCAACCAGAGCAGGACTTCCCTCCCCAGCTTAGTTGGAGGAAAAGGGGCTTGGGTGGGAGAAGGCTGGGCCCCCCACCCGAAGGGAGCAGCCTTTGGCCAGTATTATCAGAGAGGTAAGAAGTCTGGCAGGCTTGGAGGGGGAGGGGTGGGGGGGTGAAGATGTGTGTGGAATACAGATGTGAGGACAGCTGGGCTTGTCTGCCTGCAACCTTGGGCCAGTGGCTGTAACTTGAGGCCCAGTTTGCCCTGAAGGCAAGGCAGGTGGGGGGGGAGGGCTGAGGGCTCCCAGAACATGCAATAACTGGCAGGGCAGAGTGGGATTTTCAAGGGGCTTCCCCTATCCCCCCCCAACTACTTCCCCTAACCAGCCCCCACCCCAGCCTAGTCATGGGGTTTGGGGCCTCCCTTAGATCTAGAAAGTTCTCTGGATATCCCTCAAGCCTCAGACATCTAATAGCAGTAGCAACAGCAGCAAACAAACAGTATGCTCTGGCCCCTCCTATGGCCAGGGTACCTTCGCCTCTCAGGCTGCCCTTCTAGGAGCAGATATCATGTCTCAGACAGGGAAACTGAGCTCCAGAGGAGGGAAGGGGCCCTTTCTGGCCTCCGGGGCCTGGTGCTGTGGACAGGGCCACAGCCTTGTTTGCTCTGCCTCCAGGCCACTGGACACCGGGGTGCCTGGGGACTTGAGGTCACATGATACAGTTGGATAAAAATGAGGTCCTGGTTTGCTCCTTTGGAAATTTCAGATAACTGGTTTTCTTAGGAGAAAAGAAAGGGCAGAGGTCTGAGTGGTGGGAAGACAGAGAGAGAGAGAGAGAGAGAGAGAGAGGTCACTGCGTGCCACTCCTCACCTCACCCTCCCAAACCCAGTTACCCAAGGTGCCAGACCCCCTGTTAAGGGGATCAGGTGGAGGGGGGTTGGCTCCTGGGGTTGCAGAATTATTGTAGTGAGACCTCAAGTCCATGCGGGCCTCATTTATTCATCTCACACCACTACTCTTCAAATGTGTATAGCTATTGCTGTGATGAATAAATTACAAATCTGTAGAGCCTGGCAGCTCTGGGTGGCTATATCCCCTCCCCCAACACAGGCTAACAGGCAGCTATTTTGGCAGTAAAAAGGTCTCCTCCAAGAGACTGGGGGTGGGGGTTCTGCCTGATGACCTGTTGGGACCACGATGTGCTCCTGGCTCCTCTGCCCCCACTGCTGTGGCTTGGATGGATAATATGCTGCCCCCAACTGTCCCTGGGTAGGGTGGATCCTGGCCAGCCCCCCAGACACGTAGCCTGGTGGCCAGAAGCACTGACCTTTGGGGGAAGTGAACCTCCAGCCGCTGCTCTGAGGCTGGTCCGGAGGCAGCCTGGGGAGCTTTTCCTCAGGACGGAAAATATTTGCCTTTGGTTTTCAGCTGCCGCCTCATCCTGGCTGACTTCCTGTCTTCCACACAGCCGTGAAATGTGGAGGTGCTTATGAGTAAAAATGAGGCAAGGGCAGCTGTCTGAGCCCAGCGTCCGGCTGTTTCGAGCAGCACTCCTGTTTTTTTTTTCCTCTGGGTGACTAAAATCCTTTCTGCTTCTCTTCCTTGTATTGGTTTTTAGTGCCTGCAGCTAAAGGCGAATTCCCCCTTCCTGGGCCCAGGCCCAGGCCCTCAGGCCTCACCTCCAACTGCACAGAACCTTCCAGAACACCCTCCCTGCTGGCTTCTAGTCACTCAGCATCTGGGGGAGACAGCCTCTTCCAGCTGCACAAAGCTAACTCAGCCTAACCCCAGAGCTGCCTTGTTCTGGAAAGTTGCAGAAGAATCCCTCCTGGCTGGTCCTGTGGTGTTGGTGACAGCATGGAGGATGGCAGGCTGTTCCAGGGGGATGGCAGGTTCACTGTGGCCAGGCCAGGCCAGCCCACTGGGAGGACTTGTAGGAGTCCGGCAATGTGGTTTGAGTGTAGGGGGAGTCATCTGCTCCACCCCCAAGCCCACCTGACTATAAATGCCTCCAGCTCTGATGTCACACAGCTCTGGGTTCCAACCCAGCTTGCATACACTCTGCTGGGTGGTTTTTGGGCAACTCATTTAACATCTCTGAACCGTATATTCCTTCATTGAAACTGCTCATTAATGCCAGACTTTCAGGGCTATTGTGAGACGATGAGACAAATGTACCTTGTGGAGGGTAGAAACTTCCAGCAGTACCCTGGTCTTGCCCCTGGATCCCAGGGGCTAAGTCTAGTATTCTCCCAGGTTGCTGTTTGTATCTGGGACGAAGCAGGTCTTCCCCAGAGCTGAGGAGGGTTGCAGAGATGGAGGGTTAAGGACCCTGTGGGCCCCACAGCAGTTGGGTTCTCCTGGCTGGAGATTTCAGTGTTGCCCACACTACACCATCACCACAGTAAATGCCTACTGCTTCGGTGGGGTTTGTAGGCCTGGGGCTCTGCGGTAGGAGAGGTCGCTCTGAACCACACCCAGCAGAGCCAGAGTTCAGTCCTCAGAGGCTCCCAGCCCCCTAAGTCCTGGGGGTCAGGTGCCACAGAGGGGGAGCTCATGGGAGGAGAGCTCACTGGTGCTGTCCGGGGAGAGTCCTCCAGGGCCCAGGCTCGCCCATGTTTCCTTGAGCCCTGTGGTGGTTGGGCCACCCTGAGGCTTCTGCATTTGGCACTGCTTCCTGGCAGCCTCTACCCAGTAAAAGGTTGCTGAGCCCCGAATCACTTCAAGTCTGGGCTCCTGGGCCTCAGAATCCCCATCAGGAAGCTGGGATAAACTCATCCTGCTTCTTCCCTTGATGGTCCTCTATAACTTCTTCCTGTCCCTAAGTCCTTCCGAAGGCACAAATCCAGACCAAGCACCGACCCCCGGGGGTTGCAGCCAGGCCGTGCTGGGTGCTGGGTGCCAGGCACTTCCCTAATGAATGCTTTGCACCTACAAACTTCATCCTGACAATAGCCTCCAGGGATGGGTACCATTTATCACCCTGGATGATGAAACGGGCCCAGAGACCTAACACTCACTGCCTGCGGTCCCACCAGTGGTGAGGGGTAGGGGCCTGGACTGTGCAGGCTTCTTTAGGGGAAACAGCCCATTTGATTTTCTTGGCACAGAGTAGGTATGGATTCTGTGCACTGCATCTACCTTGACAGCAAAAGTGTGGGGTCCCCAGTCTGCTAGGGATGGGGGGTGGGGGGAACGTGCCCACACAATCTCTTTGGAGACCTTTATGACAACATGTGCCAAACCCACAAGAACCACATGTGCCCCTGACCCAGCCAAGCCCGGGGTCATCGGCCACAGGAGGGTAACTGCAGCCTCCTCAGCCACAGCAGAAGACTGGAGATCCCCTAAGCGGCTACCTGAGGGGGTGAGGGAAACGCATTTGGGTAATTCCACAGAAAGAGTAGCGCGGAAGGGCTCCGTGTGCTAATGGGGCGGTCTCAAACTAAGGGGGAACACGGCAGGTTTTTTTCTAACCATGAGCATGTGATACCTATTAAGGGTTTACAAAGTATTATATGGATAAATATTCACCCTGCGGGCTATGCAAGGCAGCTGAAGAAAGAGTCTGGTTTCGAGCTCCAATCTAGTGTGGCCACATGCCAGCATTTGACTTAGGTCAGTGGGGAACCTTGGTTTCCTCACTGGATGGCCCCCCAGCACCCTGCAATGGGGCAGGACAGGAATCACCCGCACAACTTTACAGATGAGAAAACTGAGGTTCCTCAATGGGGAGAATCAAATCAGAATCCTTGTACAGGCCATGTCCTGCAAGGGGGGGGTGCCACCTCTGCAGCCAGGGCCATTACACGGGCAGCCGAATGCACCTGCGGGTGGCCGCTCCGCACTCTCCCTCCTACCGGCCACATGCTTCCCTTCAGTGGTCAGAACCAGGGCGGCCCGTGTTGGGGAGCGGAGGCCATTCCAGACACCGTGGGTCCGGAGATTCCGGGCATGAGGGAGGCAGTCCAAGAAGTCTGGGCCAAACCTCAGCTCAATACCGCCCAGTCGTGGGCTCTCAGGCAGGTGGCTTCAGCCCCTGAGCCTCGCCTCAGTTTCCTCAGCTGTGAAGCAGGAGTGAGAGTTAGGAACCTCCCAGAGTGGAGGGGGATGAAGTGAGACAATGGCAGAGTTGTGGGAGCAGTGCCTGGAGGAGGAGCGCCCAGTAAGTAAGCTGTTATTTTTAAAAGGTAAATATTTATGTAATTTTTTTGTAACAGAGGGAAAGTTCAGGAAAATCCCTGACTGGTCCTAGCCGGCTACAGAGATGGGCCAGGGAGGCGAGAGTTCCTTGGAGTGACAGGAGCCTGGCTCCTGCCTCTGGCCCCAGGAGCAGCTGGTCCCTGCCCGGGTGGGCGGACACACCCAGCAGGCAGTGGCCAGAGCGACCAAGGCCTGGCTGTCTGTGTTCCCTTGCTGGCGCGTTGGGCGGAACAGACTCGGCTGGCTGGCAGGAGGCCCCTGCAGCCCCAGGCCCATGGAAAGAGGGCGCAGAAAGGCCCCTGTGTTCCACCCTACTCCAGAGCTGGCTTTTTCCAGACCAGAGCCTCATGAGTCTTTGGAAAGAACATCAAGTACCTGAGGCCCTGCTCCTGCCTGACTGTGTGACCTAAGGTGAGTCACCCTACCTCTCTGGGCCTCTACTTCCTCACGTCTTAAGTGGGGATAGCAGCAAGTGAGCAAGGAATCAGTGAGAAAGTAGACACAGAAGTGCTTTGTCATTGCCACTCTTGTGCTACTTCTTGGTACTTATGTGTGCAGGGCCCTGTCCTAATAAGTAGACTATGTATTTTAACTCACAGATGAGGCAGTAGAGGCAGAGAGGTTAAAGCATTTGTGCAGAATCATAAAGTGTGTAAGAGGCAGAAACACTCTAACAGGCAAATAATGGGAGGCCTAATATTATTGTAATTCATGGCTATGGGGTCAGGCCTAGGGTCTCAAAGCTTCAATTGTGGTTCCTGGAGGCAGCTTTGGTGAGAGTATGAAGGTCCGGGAGGGAGCACTATATTGTGGCTGGGTGTGACCCTCATGGCAGCGCTGGGGGCAGAAGTCACTTCCCTAGGAATTTGGATTTTTAGGGTGCCCTTGTGTGCTGGGAGTCAAGAGAAGTACCTTCTCCCTGACAAAGTATCTTAATTCCCAGGATTAAACTGTGTAAGGAAGACATGAACATCCCATTTTAAAAACAGCATATTTAAGGCTTGGAAGAAAAATAATTTCTTGGTGAGCAGCAACACTTGGATTTGAATTCTGATCATCTACAGCCAAGTCTACTACTCAGGACAAGGATACTGACACAAACCAGAATGGTGAGCGCCAGTGATTCTCCCAGAGAAGAACCTTCAGGGGCTTCAGGGGTTCTGAGAGAACTTGTCCTGCCCACGCACTGTCACTGTAATACCTCATTTGCTGCCTTTGGGTCTTTCTCTCTTTACTCCAGTTCACCCTGAACCTCCTAATTAATGTGGGTCGTTTTTCAGATGGGGAAGTTGAGGACCACAGGGACTTGCCCAAAACAACCCCACTTCCTAGTGCCTATAGGGGCCCCCTCAGATCGCACAACCCTTTGATCCACCCTCACACCCATCCAACCATCCACCCTCACAGGCATCCTTCCTGAGAGTCATCCACCTACCTTCCCACCATTCATCATACATGCACCCCTGAATCTGAGTAGTGACCAACTGACTCATTTTATGCCACAGTGTTCAGGCCTGAGCAGGAGGAGGCAGCTGTGGGCTTCAGAACCTCTGAAGAAGGAAGAGAGGGGCCAAAACATAGCGACGGACACTAAACATACCTGAGTGGGAACAGGAGATCGGAAGGGGTCTGCGCAGTTTTCTCTGGGAGTTAATGGGGGAAAGAGGCAGGCGGGAGTGATAGAGAGGGTAATGAAAATGTGGCATGACTCACAAGCTGAATTAAGGGGCAAGAGACGATAAAGGGGCAGGTCCGCAAGGTACGAGGCCTGTGGACCACAATGAGACTAGGGGCTTTGTCCCCAGGGAACCAGGATAAGCAGAGGAGTGAACTCTGCTAGGACCCAAGTTATCAAGTCCCTGGGGCTGCAATGATGAAGGGCCTGAAGAAGGGGGGTGCTCCTTGGGGTTTCTCCAGAGCCCACACTCACAGCCACCAGGTGATAACACCCTCCAGGGCTGTAGGTCCCCCTCCCACTCTCTGTGGACCTGCCTCACCCAAGCCTCCAGTATACTGGCCAGCCAGAGTCTGGCTCAGGACTGCCAGCGAGCCAGAGCCCAGCAGGTGGTACCCTGAGGTGGGGGAGGCCAAGAGGCGGGCTCACGGTGGCTCACAGCCCTTCCCACCCGTCCAGGTCTCTGCCTGCTTTCTCCCTCACGCCACGCGGGCGGGCATCCGGCCCCTCTCTGCCTTGTCACTGCAGGGACAGCATGACATGCGAGACCTGTGTGTGGTGGCCTCCTTCTGGTCAAGGTCTCCCTGGCACGGCTGTGCAGTTGTGGGTGGAACCCAACTCCGGGTGCAGTGATGAAAGGCTGGACTTGGAAGGGAGTGCGATTCCCTTGGGAAAGGGTGGCTCGGTGCAGCAGCCCCCTACAGGCCAGCTTTGATGGTGGATCAACCCCAGGCGGCTCCTGGGGCTCCAGGGCACAGCCCCTCACTGGGAAACAAAGGCGGGCCCAGGGCGAGTGCAAACATTAGCAGGGAGACGCAAGCGGCTCGTCCTGGCGGCTCTTTGGCCGGCCCGTGACTCTGCCTCTTTATTCTTGTCTCTTCCTTTTCAGGCAAAAGTGTCCCTCATGGACAGGCCAGGCCAGCAGGTCCGTGTGAACCCCCCACAGTTCCCAGAGCTCCTTTGTCATTTCTCCCACCCTCCGAACCCCCACTGAAAGATTCTGTCTCCCAAACA